GATGGTCCAAAATGTAAACTTTACAACCTTATTGATTTTGGTAGGTCGAAGTTGATTCGACTTGAACTCCATGCTAGATGCAAGGATTGTGAAAAATGCAAGTGGGACTTGAACCTTGAGAATATATACCACCATGGAAAACAAGATCTACGTATTGATGGAAGTATATAGTGCTTGCTATGCCTACGTTTTTTTTTTGGGAATAATTACCAAAACAAGTTCAAAATCTTATTCTAAACATTTCAATTTGGCCAATTTAGTCCCAAACCTTTTAATGATTTGCCAATGTAGTCATTTTGGCCAATTTAAACCTAAAATTGCTTATGTGGATGCCAGCCGTCTTACATTGCACCGCTTATGCTTACATAGATAATTTTTCTAAATTTTTAATAAATTTCTGATTTTCTTTCTTTCTTTTTTTTTGACTTAGGGTTGCCGGCCGACCCTTGCCATCACTGGGCAATGGCGTCACGGTCCTTGTTGGCCACAGAGTGAGGGCCGTGAGCCCCTCGCCGGCTACAACGAGGGCCTGTGAGTCCTTGCCTAGATTTGGTGAGGGTCGTGACGCCATCGCTCTATCTAGCCAGGCGAGGGTGTCTCGACTCTTGCTTGTGGCTGGTGACCTCCACTAGCCATTGTCGAGGCTGTGGACCGGCGAAGGGAAATAAAGAAAAAAGAAAAAACGAAAAGGGCAAAAAAGGAAAGGAAAAAAATTAATAATTTTTTTAAAAAATTACAAAAATTGTCTACGTCAATGCCGACTATGCCATGTAGGATTGCCGATATCCACGTCAGTGATTACTGGTCAAAATTGGCGGGTAGAACTACATTAGCAAATCATCAAAATGTTTGGGACTAAATTGATCAAACTGAATTAGTATCCGTATAAGAGGTCTAAACTTTTTTTTTTTGTGGTTTTCTGGATTTTTTGGTTTTTCTAATTGCCATAATGAACAGCAACAGTAAATACTAAAGACAACTCAGTCCAGAAAACATTTCATGACAATATCCTTGGGATGACTGACGAAAAAGGATGAGCTGAGTTGCACTTAAACATCAGAAAAAGGAATTGCCCTGCGTTTGACCCACCTCCCCAATTTCGATATGGTGTAGTTGTCTTAGAGAATGAGTAACAAAATGGGTTGTACAAACAATTAATGAAGTATATAGTACATAGACTAAGTATTCTGTGCAGTATAAGTCTATATCAAACAAACGCGGCGTATTGACTCGTCGTTTTCTGATCTCACATTAAGACAATAGTACTCGATGAAGTGGGAGGAGAATATATTATCGTGTAGCTCATCCGCAAGGAATGCGGGAAGATGGACGTGGTCATCCCTTTCCTCGTTCTTTTCCAATCCAAGCCGCACTCACCAGCTACAACAGAAGGGGAATATTGCCTCAAATGGAAAAGAATCCATTTCTGTCCGTAAAATAAACGAAGTTAAGGAAGATAGTGCGCATGGTTGCCGATGCTCTCGCATTGTTCCATGCTAGTTGGTTAAAAGAAGTAACACTACGTCAGAGAGAGAGAGAGAGAGAGAGAGAGAGAGAGAGAGAGACAGAAAACCGCAGGCGCTCGAGATCCCGAATGGCGCCCATAGAAGAAGGAAGGAAGAGAAAAGGAGAAGGCAAAAAGAGGTTTTAAGATTAAAGACAGTGGAAGGAAGATTTTCCTGAAAACCAGGAGAAGCGAGTGTGTGTGTGCTGTGCTGTGCTGTGTTGTTGTTTCAGGTTCTTCGTCTTACCACGATATGTGGCGCAACTTTGGCTGTTTCCCGGATTCGAGCTTGCGCTGCCCACGCGCCCTCGCTCTTGTGATCTCTTCTACTTCTTTCCTTCTGCATTTCCTTTGTCATCTTCACGTATGCCATTTCAATCGACCAAGATCCATCGTCGACGCTAAAAAGATTTTGGAGCTCGTCCTCTCTTTCTCTCTCTTCGGGGATAGGAAGGTGCCCAGGAGGTGAAAACGGCATCGTGGATTGATTCAGGGGCCTTGCCCTGAAGCGATCGAGCGAAACCACCACTCGCCACCAATCTGTGTGATGAATCGAATGTGCAAACGAGTTAGCTATCCTCGGACAAAAGTATTAATAGCAACCTACCATGTCACTTTGTAAACTAATTTTTTATGCCTCCGACAAATGCGTTTTTAATAGTGTTGAAGCTCCACGAATAAGGTATTCAAGAGATAATACTAAAAAAGAAAAATGAGGATCTCATCTCCTCAACACGAATCCTTAAATTGAGTCATGGTAGCAGTTCCTTTGAGAAATAGCAACAGCTCGTTTAGTTGAAGTAATTGAATGAAATTGTAATGTAATAGAGCTGTAATAATTGTTACGCCATTTTAATTGGATTAAATAACGTAATATCTTTTATCTTATTAGGCTTTATGAATATCATATGTGATAAGGGAGTAAAATCATCAAAATTTTCAAAATACCAGAGAAACAAAATTATGGGGATTACAAAAATATTTATAATAGTCAATCATGAGTTTGATATTCCATATATATTGTCAAGAATATTATAATCTCATATATGGAATATTATTTATTATTTAATAAGTTATGTATCATATATATTGTGGTATAGAGCTAATCATACGACATGTGATTGTATTAACACAATTATTAAGTTATCACATTATCAATTTGGCATGTTTGAAATAATTATTGTATCACAATTTAAAATTTAATTAAAGTAAATTGTATATAAGGCAATCGGTATATGATGAAAAATTATTTATAAAATTGTGAAAATTTAGATAATAGTACCTTAAAGTAAGCAACTAATATCATGCTAATTATATTATTTTAATGGCTTTCAATATAATGTATAGCTATGTATTATTAAGATAAAATATTTTATTACTGAAATATTTTCTTATTATTCAATATACTGTTTACGAAAGTGATTAACTATAATGTTAATCGTATAATACGTGCTTATATGCAAATAATTAATTTTGGTAGGGTAAGCGGGAGAAAAAAGATGGGCATTTTAGGAAAAATTATTACAATATGGCTATAATATCGATCACAGAGGGGCCATGTAATAGGAATTACACCTTTACTTGTAAAAGAGATTACCACTAAAATAATTATTATTGCAAGCAAATAATGTAATAATCAGCCAAATTCTAATTGACCTATAATAAGCTATTACTGCTACGAAATGTGCTGTAAATTTACTCGGACTACCTAACAAAATTGGTTCACTAGGTGATGTGGTCCAGTGTCGAAAGTGGCCCACTTGTTTAAATTTTCGCTTGTGCAGTCCATCATATCACTCAATAAACCAATTTTTTAGATCAAAGTATTACTTTTTACTTTTTATGTTCGACTAAAACATTGTAAAAACAAATAGAGTGATGTACTTTTCATTTACAAGAAAGGTTCAGACGTTTGGTGCACCGTAACCTGGATATAAAAGAGACAATACTGCTTCCACCAAGTGCATTCACAGATTGAATTTATAGGTCATAATAGACTTCGATTTAAGGTTCACCAGATTCAAAGGTTAATATGCAACTAAGTGTCTGTATTGGGTGCATACAACCATTTTTGATGTAAAACAAAAAAAGTGGTCCTAAGAACAATCAGATATACATACATGCAAACTTCACTAGAAATTGAATGCATATAAATTCATCGTTACAGTACAAAACTCCCAACTCAACCATTTGCATCACTACTACTTTATTGTTTGTAGGCCCCCATTGTGTAGTCACTTGTCGTCATCGCATCCGACAGCTGCCAAGACTACCACTATCACCGCCTTCTTGATTCTACCATTGCCGCTGGACGCCCCTCTTTCTTACTTTAAACTTTTAAATCTATCTGTCTTCAATCTTTTTTGGGCATTACGTTAACCATTGAACTTCCAAAAGGTTGGTAATAAGTAGTAATTTTTTTTTTATGACGTGAACTCCCGCACTAACCGCACTACAAGAGTCCAACCGGCCAGACATTAACTGGGGGAGAACTAGCCAAATCCATAGACTAGTCGCCGTGTCAGTCAAAGGTGCGATAAGGTGGAGGGCAGAGAAACTCGAACTTGGTATCAGTCACCTACAAGCCCAAAGCCCTTACCACTCCACCAACCCCTTGGAAGGTGATAATAAGTAGTAATTTATTTTCTTTTTCACGATAGTAATAAACTAAACGAGATTGACAGTTTAATATAAGAGATTAGGATTGTAGGATTAGCGGCCATCCTCATTGATTCGACAGAGCTTTTCCTCGGCTGGATCGACGTAGCTCATTGAGCTCAGGCAACGTAGAGAGAGAGAGAGAGAGAGAGAGAGAGAGAGAGAGAGAGAGAGAGAGAGAGAGAGAGAGAGAGAGAGAGAGAGAGAGAGAGAGAGAGAGAGAGAGAGAGAGAGAGTATGGTGGTGGTGGCCGATCTAAGGTGGCGTCCACCTCAATGGGATTGAGTACATTGAGCAGGCAAGCATAGGGCTTTTATTGAAATCGGTTATAATACTATAAATGTGTACATGATATTATTTTTATGGAGGACCCGTAGAAAATTATATAATCTCGATAGAGATTATTGCTATTATTAGCGTTCAAGCCAAACTTCATATGATACAAAAGAGGACATGTACATATAAATATATATGTATCCGCACATGTGTGAGGCCCATCCAACAATCTCTCTTCTACACGAGTGCATGCATGCCAAGCAAAGCTTTCTGCCAAAAAGGGCATGCTGTCCGATTTGGATCGTTTCTCAAGAGGGGAAACTCCCACAATTTTACCCAAACACGAAAGAACTTTTGTAGGGCATAAAAATAAACTCCCGGATTTAAGGCTTTTTCAAGTCCCTTTTGATTCCATCCAACACTTAATTATGTAAACCAAGCTAAAACAAGCTAAACCGCCAGGTCCCACCCACCCCCCTTCTCTCTCTCTCTCAAACCCTCCATTCATTTCCCACATAAGTACCCCCTTCGCTCTCTCTCTCTCTCTCCCTCCCACCCTCCCTCCTCATCTTCGTACCTGCACTCTCTCTCTCTCTCTCTCCCTCTCTGCGTCAGCCATGAGAATGAGCTGCAACGGCTGCAGAGTCCTCCGCAAGGGCTGCAGCGACGACTGCATCATAAGGCCCTGCCTGCAATGGATCAAGTCCGCCGATTCCCAGGCCAACGCCACCGTCTTCCTCGCCAAGTTCTACGGCCGTGCCGGCCTCATCAACCTCATCAATGCCGGCCCTCCCCACCTCCGCCCCGGTACTGCCCCTTCTCTTCCCTCTGCGTCGGATGTGAATTTTCAGCACCCAACTCGAGTTATATTTCTTGACTTTCTCTTCTTCTCTTTCTTTGATGAGCGAGCAGCCGTTTTCAGGTCGCTGCTCTATGAGGCCTGCGGTCGGATCATCAACCCCATATACGGGTCGGTCGGGCTGCTCTGGTCCGGCAACTGGGGCCAGTGCCAAGCGGCCGTCGACGCCGTCCTCAAGGGCTCCTCCCACATTATGCGACACCCTTCGCTGGATTCGGGTTCGACCCCCGCCACGTCTCAGCCCTTACCTCCCCTCAAGGCCTACGACATCCGCCACTTCCCCAAGGCTGGGGGCTCGCAAGACCTCCACAGGGTCCGGGCCCGGAACCCGTTTAAGCGCCCCAGGCTCGACGCCGACCCTAAGCCGGACGGCGGGCTTTATCCGGAGGCGAGCTACACGACGTCGCCAGAGGACGACAGCGTGTTCTCCGTGGAGACTCTGGAGGCTGAACCCGAGGGCGGGTCCCAACCGAGCCGGAGTTTGGCGATCGATGGCCAAGATCGTGAGAGTGATGACGATCGGATTGGGTTGGAGCTCACTCTGGGTGTGGCTCAGAGTCAACAACAGAGCGTCTCATGCAAATCTGAGGCTCATTATGGTCATCACTTGTGAATGAGAGTTGCCAAGAAAAGAGAAGGAGAGAGAGAGAGAGAGAGAGAGAGAGAGAGAGAGAGAGAGAGAGAGAGAGAGAGAGAGAGAGAGAGAGAGAGAGAGAGAGAGGGGTTTTTTGAGGATTGGAATGGACATGATCATCATCAGACTTGAATCAGCGTAGTTGATGTCTTAATGTTGATTCATTTCCTGTTCCTTTTTTCCTTTTTTCATTTTCGCTACCTTTAAAAGTGTGGTTTCACGGTGTTGGGTGGGGACTTAAGTGTGAAAATGTAGTGCGCGCACACAGAGACAAAGACCTATACACAGAGAGGAGAGACAAATATATGTACTCATGCTTTTGCTGGTCATTTACAGGGGTCGATGAACGGTACACGGAGACGATAGTCTTTTCTCACATACTGTTTCAACTCTCATCTTCTTGACCTAGCTATAATTAAGTTCTCTCTCTCTCTCTCTCTCTCTCTCTCTCTCTCTCTCTCTCTCTCTCTCTCTCGAGTTTGCCCTGGAAGGGCGCTCTTTAATGGCCGATCTTAGTGCAAAGCGACCGCCAATCTCAGTACAGTGGCCGTGTTAAAATTGGATCGAGGGTCACTGGCGGATTATTGGTTGGTGGGTGTGTCTCTCTGCGGCAGTGAAGATTCTCCACGTTGAGGGGGGTTTGGCTTTTGGCCATGCATGAGGGTGGACACCTGCTTTCCATGCACGGTCATTGGGGCTCGAGATATTCCGAGTACATTTCCCCTCCCTCCTTCGCAGATATATAAATTAACTCCCTCTTTCCCTGTGTATCTTATTTTGCTTGAAGAAAGTTGGGAAAAGTAAATGTAGAGAAAGACCATGTTGACACGGCCTAGTCGAGAGGCTGTAAAGTTGTTTGATAGCTGAGTTGAGGATTAATCAAAGTAGCAATTAAAGAGGTGAAGGGGCACTTGAGAAACCTAGATCTGGGAATGGAGTGAAGTTTTAGTTAAAGAAGCACCTAAAAGGGTTTCTCCTTAAACATGATCCATTTTTGGGTAGGGTGTATGTGCTGGCGTATTGCTTTATTTCAAGGCAAGTAGGTTAAATAAAGTTTAGCCTAGTTGGTACCAAGTGTATATCCAATGATCATTTATGTTGCATCGAGAAAATCTTGCGAATGAGTTGATGAGTAGGTGGATCCACTTAGATATCTGATCAGGGGATCACCCAACTCTTGGCCCTAGTTTAGTAAGAAAAGCTGAATATCAAATGAAGGGCTTGCGAAGTGACGAAAACAACATAATCGAGAGGAGTTTCATAATTTAAAAAGGATTGGGAAAGTTTCCTTGATATGCGTAATATGTTCATCGTTTTCAATTTTATCACCTTAAATTAATGATTCATCAGCACATCTAATGAATAATTGTACATGTGTCATTTTCTTCTTCTAATTTTTTTTTTTATAATCTGGGGCATAGACTTGGAGTTCCGATTATCTGGAGGCTCGTGAAATATTTAGCAAGCCCCATAAACCAGTTAAATCCACGAAATACTCTACAAGCCTAGATAATGCTCATATATCAACAGAGTCCAATCCTTTAAAAATATAACAATTTATTTAGATCTCACAAGTTTAATATAATTGATCCGTTTTTAACAACAACTTGCTTGGCAATATAAATTATTATAAATAGCAATTAGCGTGAACAGATGCAAAGATCATAGCCATTTCAATTGGTACACAGAGGACTTACTCTTTTGCATCTCTACTCTAACCATCATCCTTATGATTGGACTGCATTGGATTAAGTCTAAAATACAAAGACCAATTGCGAATTAGAGATTAAATGAAATGGCTAACACTATATATCCGCGTTTGTTCAGCAGAAATGTACTGTTTGCATTGTCACTACGACAATTGACATTAACAAATTAATACGTTCGTAGATATACGGCATTTTGGCGTACCGAGCACCAAAAAATCTAGATTAGAGCCTGAGGTATATTTGTCATATAAATATCATATATACTTTCTTTATGGAAAGTCTTTTTCCACGTAACATTAAAAAAAATTTGGACCTAGGGGAGCCGGGGGCCACCACAGCCATCCCTAGGTCCCCTATTATCTCGTACCCTCGAATAAAGGAAGTTTTTCAATTTCAATTTAAAACACTAATGTTCTCGTACTATACACTTTTAATGCATCGAAAATGTAAATATTCCTTTATCAGTTATGATTAATGGGTGTTTCATGGACACTTGCGAAAAGGATTTTTTTTTATATATTGCAACTGGTTCGATATATCTTAGCGTTATTGTTTTGGACCGTGCAATGTTATTTCCATTCTTGGACCTTACGGTATTACATGTTGCTCGGAATGAGAAATATCGAAGAGAGTTGACATTCAGACTTGCAGACACACCAGAAGACGAAAACACGAGCGGTTCCTCGTATGAAATTTGTAAACTTAGGTTTTCTAAGCACGCCTTTAAGTAATAAATAAAAGAATAAGTGTATCGGAAATCATAAAATTTGTAATTAAAGTGCTAACTAGTTCTAAAACTTTCTAATAGTCAATCAACTTCTAAAAATTATTAACAAAGTGCAATTAAGTACATCCTTAGTACCATTACATTTGACTAACCAAGCAATCTAACATAACTTTCTTTTTGTTTTAATTTTTTTTCTAACATGTAGCACTAATATGATGCTAACTAAAAGGGAAATTGCATTAGCAAAATAGCCCAAAGCTAGAAAAAAAAATAAAGAGAGAGAGAGAGAGAGGAGGGGTAGGGGTGGGGCGGTCACCACCCTTACTCTGTCGGTACGCCTCGCCGGGATTAGGATGAGGGTGGCTGGCCCTTGCTCAGCCGCTGGAGAAGGCCACAACTCTCTCCCTAAGCAGGCCAATACGATCTTTATTCCCTGATTTGAGCAATTAATTCATAATGTCCTATTTTTGGCTATATAAGGGTAAATTTTTCAATGGTGAGAATCGAGAATTTTTTGAGGCAAATACATTAGTCTTATACGTACATAATCCTAATGGCTTGATGCATTGTTGTGGGCTTGCGACGAGCGTCATAATGCATCAAATTTGAACATTCTTGTATTTGATGACTGAGTTGTTTTCTGGCCCAATAAATTGTCACATCGGGAAATATTTTGGATCTTTAGGCTGGTCAGACGATCACGACTCATTGTGCTGTTGCTCATCAACCTTCTATTTTCCTTCTTTTCCCCCCTGAAAAGCCGATCATAACAAGATATAAGGGGAAAAGGAAAACCACATCAGGTACCAACTCACCTTGTGTCTAATGTCTTTCGAGATTCTCGAGGACTAATACTTCATCGGGAAACTAATCTGCTTTGCAACATTTTATCAAAATTTAGCCCCAGGAGCTCGACTAATTCGTCCAGTCCCGAAGAAAAGAAGGATGACGAACGTACTCGAACAAGGCGCAGAAGACTGATTTTGGCTTCTTCACTCGATCCGGAAACATCTCGAGAAGCCATCGACGTGCAGTCTTCGTCCACTGATGTAATTGGTGCCTTGGTTCAAGCTGATGCCACCCTAATCGACGACCAAGAAATGTCGGATGTTCATGAGCTTAGCATTTCCATTCAGGACGTCATTCCAGCTACTGAGGATGCCGTCATTACTGATGTTTCTACCAATATTGATCATGTCCAATCTGGTTAAAACATTTACCTTATCATTTTAACGTTTGTGCCATCCTTTTTCTTCGCTAACTTGTTCTCTCCATACAGCGACCATGCCAGTTAATCCATCTTTGCCTTCTCTGACCGCTCCTAAACATGTTCTACTTACTACGGATGCAGTAGCTAACCAAGAACAGGTGGATACGGCACCGACTAGATCCGTACCAGCTGAAGAACCTGTTATTGCCTTTATCACTTCTGATTCAACTCCAACTACATAATCAGAACCAGCGATCATTCAACCCTTTCTCTTGTCCAAGTATGTGTTTGATAATCTCTCGATTCTGTTCGTATCCTCAATGGCCTGCTTTAATTATGCATCTTATAGGCTGGCCCCAGAATGCCGTCCACAGCAGTCCTTGGATCTACAACTGAAGTTAATGCCAGGTCAATCTCCCTCCCTCACGTCGACGAGCTGAATGATCTAAAGTAACTCCTACGCGCCGATGTAACGAAGCCTATATTCACTCCACTAGCTGAAGGTATTGGTGTTGTTACTGTGGAGACGGTAAAGGCCACATGGAAAGAGTTTCTTGAGCTCACACGTGGCAGCTACTCCTCAATCATGTCGAGCCCAGCTTCAGAAGAAAGAGCTAAGGGATTAATTGCCGAGATTTGCACTAACAACCCTTCTTTCAGCAAAACTTCTCAATTCAAAGATCAATGTGAAGAATTCCTGGCCTAGCTCTTCTCGAGTATCGAGACTTATCTGTTGGACTTGACCATTCCGCCCCCTAGGCGGGGAAGGCCGCCTTGCCAAATTATCCATTAGCAATTGTGGCCGATACGGTAAGTTTCCCTTATTCGGTGGAATTACTACACCGATATTCAGCGAGTGTAGTGGATTCACTACTCCTGCAAGTGGTGTTATAACATTACCAAATGGTCTCACATTATCACCATTGGGTGGCGGTATCATTGGCCTCTGGTTTTCAACGTTCGGCAAATGTATGTTTTGATTTGCCTTTCCATCATTGTTTCCAATGGCGCTGTTTTGAACTGGACCACTTTGATTGACAATGTTTCCAAGACCAACTAAATTAGGATTATTTTTGTTCTGGCCGTCGGCAACTTCATGCCTTTGCAATATTCTCACCGCTGGTTGTGGTATTGTTTGGCCTAAATTACCAACATTATTGTAAATGAGTAGAAGAGGTCGAAGGTACATACCCCGTCGCAGTCTGTCTTCCTTGCACTGGAAACGGCTGGCTTGATGGCCCCGGCCTAGAAGCTAGTTAATTCACCATGTTAACTATCATGGGCTTGAGCACCCGAGTGAGACGATTGATCATATGATTAGCCAAATCATTTCGTTGCTCCTTGGAAATCCTTCTCATGGTTGCCACCATCACCGGGTTTGGCTCCAATTCTCTCCTCTTTTGATCGGTGAGCTTTCACGGAATGTCCACTAAATTCCCACCTTGGTTTTCGTCTCTCACTGCATCAGCGGATGATGACTCCAATTGAGCAAATCCCTCATTGACTCGTTGTGGGGATCGATTCTCCTGACCAACGGCATTTCGGGCCTGTTGATTTCTCGTTTTCGCCATTTACACTTCCTCAAATTGAACCACAAGGATCCCACTAGGCATGCCACAAAGATGTTCGCCGAAAATGTTCGTCGATGACAAACCTTTCACCAAGCGTTAGATCTTTGGTTTTTTAGAAATGAATAAGGTT